CCGAGGTCATGACAAAGGTCGGGGACGAGGGCAAGGTTGAGGTGGAGAAAGCTTACCTCAACAAGAAGACATCAAACACCGCAAAGACAAGAGCACAGTGAAGTGTTACAATTGTCAAAAGTACGGACACTACGCGTCCAAATGTCGTAGCAAGAAGCCCGAAGAGGAAACAAGACTTATGAGCCTCCATTACGAGGAGCCGGCGTTGATGTTTGTCGAGGGAGTGGCGAATCCCTTGCCCGAAGACGATGAGACAAACCTCAAAGAGTTCACGCAAGAATCCTCCAAGGAGGAACCAGAGGGGGTGTTGCTCAATGAAGAAAAAGTCAAGGCGAACCTCCTCGCAAGTGGCGAGGAGTATAATCACACCTACGTATGGTATCTTGACAATGGAGCAAGCAATATGACAGGCCATCAAGAGTAGTTCAATGAGCTCGACGAGAAGATCACCGAAAATGTGAAGTTCAGAGACGACTCACTCATCGAGATCAAGGGCCGAGGAACCATCTTATTTATATGCAAAAACGGCGATCAACGTCTAATGATCAAGGTATATTAAATTCTGAAATTAAAAAATAATATCATAAGTCTCGGTAAGATGAGAGAAGTGGGCAACACGATCACCCTAGTTGGATCGTTCTTGAAGATGTTTGACTGAAATGACATCCTGTTGATGAAGGTGGAGAAATCACAAAATCAGTTGTACAAGATTTCTCTCAAGTCAAGGCTGTCGTTTCCTGCCCAGGCCAACTTCCGAGCCGAGTACCCTCTACAACTTGTGCACGTGGATTTGTGTGGTTCGATCACCCTGACATCACTTGCTGGTAACAAGTATTTCTTTTTTACTTGTGGATGATTATAGTCGTTGGATGTGGGTGTACATGCTCAGAGAAAAAGGAGAAACCTTTGAAACATTCAAGAAGTTCAAGAAGCTCGTGGAGAACACGTCAGAGTACAAGTTGAAGACTTTGCGAACTGATCGAGGTGGCAAGTTCACTTCCCAGAAGTTTGCGGAGTTCTGCATAGAAGAGGGAGTCGAGCGCCATCTCACGACATCGTACACACCTCAACAAAATTGTGTGGTGGAGAAGAGAAATCGCATCGTGATGGGCATCGCAAGAAGCTTGCTTAAAAGCATGCAAGTCCCGACAAACCTTTGGGGAGACGGTACGACATGCGGCATATCTCTTGAACTGCTTGACAACAAAGGTGCTAGGAGATTGTACCCCTTACCAAGCATGGTTCGGCAAGCGACCTCATTTGAAGCACTTGAGAGTGTTTGGATGTACCACACATGTGAAGGTTGCAGGTCCACATCTCAAGAAGCTCGATGATCAAAGTCAAGCAATGGTGTATCTTGTCATCGAAGACGGAAGTAAGGCACACAGATTTCTTGATCCACAATGCAAGAAAATTCTTGTGAGCAGAGACGCAGTGTTTGAAGAGGAGAAGAATTGGGAATGGTGCAACAATGATGAAGAGCTCATACAAAATTCTATGGAGTTTGGAATTTTACAAGATGACGGAGAAGTAGCGGACTCAACCTCGCCAATGACACTAATGGTCACATCGAACTCTCAACGACAACAAGAGAACTCGGGAAGACTCACAACAAAAGATGCTCCCAAGAAATTTCGCTCACTTGCTGAGGTCTATGCAGAAGCGCCACTAGTAGAGATGGATCTTGATGAATTGTTGTTGCTCACTACCGACGAGCTAACAACATATCACGACGCAGCAACCGAAGAGGCGTGGAATAAGGCCATGCAAAAAGAGCTCGAGTCCATCGAGAAGAACAAGACGTTGGAGCTCACCGACTTGGCACTCGGTCACAAGCTCATCGGCTTAAAATGAGTGTTTAAGTTGAAAGAGACAGCGAAGGCAACATCCTTAAGCACAAAGCAAGATTGGTGGCGAAAGGTTACGTGTAGAAGCAAGGAGTTGACTTCGAGAAATCCTTTGCATCAGTGGCGAGACTCGATACCGTCAAGTTAATTCTTGCCCTCACAGCTTATCGTGGGTGGGAGATCCACCACTTGGACGTCAAGTCGGCGTTTTTTAATGGTGAAATTGAAGAAGAAGTCTACGTCACCCAACCTGAAGGTTTCATTGTCAAGAATGAAGAGCACAAGGTGTACAAGCAGTCCAAAGCTCTCTACGGACTACGCCAAGCACCAAGGGCGTGGAACACTTGCCTTAACAGGAGAATAATGAGTTTAGGCTTCATGAAGTGTCCTCAAGGGTAGGATATGTAAACGAGGAATCACGGAATAGAAGTACTCATCGTCGGCGTGTACGTTGACGATTTGATCGTAACGGGATCCATCATTGATGGTGTTGAGATATTCAAGAAGCAAATGATGAAGGAGTTCGAGATGAGTGATCTTGGGCTGCTCTCATACTACCTCGGTATCGAGGTAGACCAAAAGAAAGACCACATCACAGTGAAGCAATCTTGAGATGGTAGAGTGCAACCCGAGCAAGTATCCAATGGAAGCAAAGTTGCAACTCGGAAAGGATGCAGAAGGAATTGTTGTGGATCCCACCAAGTATAGGTTGTCATCGGGTGTCTCAGGTACCTGACCCATACTCGACCCAATATCTCATACGCAGTTGATATGGTGAGTCGTTACATGGAGCAGCCTACCACTGCACACCTGCAGGCGGTGAAGCATATTCTTTGTTACATAAATTGAACTACGAGATTCAATACAAAAGAGGACAAGGAGCGTCGGTTTTACTGACAGTGATCTAGCCGGTGATATAGATGACAGGAAAAGCACTGGAGGGATGGTATTTTATCTCAACAGGAATCTAATCACTTGGCAATATCAGAAGCAGCGAACCGTTGCTCTATCATACTGTGAGGCAGAGTTCATGGCAGCTACTACGGCATCATGCCAAGCATTGTGGCTGAGAAGTTTGTTGAGCGAGGTGACTGGAAACGAGCCAAAACCAGTAACTCTCTACGTCGACAACAAATCTGCAATATCATTGATAAAAGACCCGGTGTTTCATGGATGTGACAAGCACATCGACACTCGCTTCCACTTTATTCGCGAGTGTGTCGAGAATCGACAGATCGTCGTGGAGTTCGTAAGCACCGGAGAGCAACGTGTGGATATTCTCACCAAGGCTCTAGCAAGAGTCAAATTTGCGAAAATGCGAGAGCTACTTGGTGCAACTTTGAACCAAATCAAGCTTACGGGGGAGATTGTGAGACTAATCTTGAATAGGTCAATTGAATTGATTACACAATTAGTGGTTTCATAACAGACATGAGTTGATTAGTGGAATAAATATAAGAGATATGACAATAACATTAATTTTGAATTAAATATAGGAGATATGACAATAACATTACTTTTGAATTTGAATTTTAAATTCAAATTCAATATTCAAATATGTGTAATCAATTCAAATAGACGCGAATTGATGACACTTATTCTCTTTGTTTTTATTGTGTACGTTTCATTTTTTGTTTCAGTATGTTTTAGTTAGTATAAATTGAGTGTTGTGTTGCAATGTAAAACACACACTCTAGACTTGTATCTTTTCACTCCTTAAAAAATAATTAAAAGAAAATTCCTAAAAGTCCAATCTCATTTTTCTTTCGATTTGTCTTTTAGCGATCCATTAAATTAGAACCAACAATTTCTGCAGTTGTATAAAAATGAAGAACATATGGAAGTATGCTATGCAAAATAGTGTAGAGTGCAACGGAGAGATTGTGATCGGTTTGCTTCCATATGATGTATTCTTGATCTAGAATTTGAAGGCCATTGAGATTGGTGTGATATTGAGGTGGACGGTGGATTTCTCTGGTAAGGAAAGATTCAAAGCCATTTGCTTGAAAAACTTTCATGATTTGGGCACTCCAAATGGAGTAAATTTCAATAGTAACTGGAGTGGAAGCAAGAGATTTAAGATGGTAAAGAAGGAATTTAAGGGAGGGAAAAGCGAAAGGTTACTGTGTAATTGGGTGGGCGTAGGAGAATCCATTAAATTGGAAAAACAAAATTGGTTCAGAACTCATATTCTTGAGATTTTCTTGTGAAAAAGTTGTGATGCACTGGATTCTTGATGATTGCAGATCTCTCGTAGCAGCAGCTTCAGAAGAAAAACCACGTTGAGAAGGAAGCGGGGTAAAACATAGAGCCAAGAGGAGTGACCTCAGCCTGACCTCGTCGAATCGTCAGAAGGAGCCGACGAAGAAGAAGCTGCGGAGAAGAAACCGAAGGCGGAGAAACAACCGTCGGCGAAGGATAAGGGAAAGAAGGGAGAAATTTTCAGCATGAGAAACTCAAGAAAATAGAATTAATTTGAATTCGCTTACTTATAAATACAATACTAGACATATACTTTTATAGGAGTAGTTACAGACAAAAGTTTACTACCTAAGGATAGAACTAAGGATTAATTAAGGATTTAAGTCATAAGAGCTGTTATAAGATAATTAGTGAGATACGTTGGCAGAAACCTTCAACCGATTAGCTTATAAAACTCTAAATCCAAACAAAATATAATTTTCATCAAGTGACCCAACACATAACCTGACCCATCCACATCACTACCTTAGACAAGAATAATAAAGCAAAGTGGTAATCCTTTATTAATTAATTATTATAATTTTAAATGTTTTTATATAACATTCTAAACATTTTAAAAATTAATGATTTAATTTGGGATCATTTTTATTTTTTATTTTTAAAAACATTTTAGATTTGTGTGTTCTTTAAGCATTTAATTTTTTATTTTTAAAAATAAATTAACTTATTTTAAAAATCACACAAAATAAAATTTTAGATATTTTAAATATTTTAAAAACAATCATCACTAATAAATTTATTAGTGATTTAAAGGAAACGGAGCAGCAATGCATGACTAGCTACAGGACTGGCTACAGCATTTTTTTATCGCTACAGCATTTTTATATTATTTCAAATTTAAATGGCAGGCTCGGATACCCGTTGTTCTTTCAGGCCTCCCGCTCTCTCTCCTCTCATATTTCGGCTTCGGCTCTCTCTCTCTCTCTCTCTCTCTCTCTCTCTCTCGCCGTTTAGGTCATCTCACAAGTTCAAGAATTCGAAAGATTGATCTCTCCCACTCCCTCTGCTTACGACAGAAGACCCACTAGCTCTGCACTTCTGTAAGGCTCCGGAAGTAGAATTGTGATTTGTTGCTCCGGATTTATCCTGCTTCCCGACAATGGATATCAACACTTCTCGTGGAGCCAAAGGTACCATACCTAGCTCTTCTGTTACTGTGACCATGAAAGCCCTTTCTTTCAGTCGAAATGAACGAGTAATGGGACATTGGGGCTAGGATTAGGGTTTCTGCCGGAAGAAATTCAGATTTAGAGTTGTTACTTGTTTGATTGTTTAACCTGAAGCCTTTTTTGCATGGATTAAGGTATTTCACCCGGAGATTGGAGGCATAAGCCAATGCTTTTGCGAAGACAGAGGCTTTCTGATATAACCAATTTGTCAAACAGTGTCTTCAGCAATGGAGTCGTCAATGATGCCCCTGAAAATCGGAAGACCGGCTCTCCCGTGATGGCCAACGAATGCATCGCCAAGCTTTTCAAGGTCACTCCATCTTCACTTTTTTCTTCATTAATTGGAGGTGAAAACCATCTTATTAGTCAGTTTTCTTACCTTTTAATTGGAATTTTGGTTTCAGGAAAACAATGTTCTGATGAGGGCTCTTGCAGAAAGAAAGTGGGTAAATCATTTTCTGTAAAAGTGAATGCTTACTTTGGCTTGGCCTTCATCTTCTTTTTTCCTTGTTGATACAAGTCTTAAGTGATTGAAATGAGCAGTACAGAGGTGCAAAATCTCCGATTGATGGTGGCAAAACTAAACCAGCAGAACTGGCAGCTTGCTCAGGCTCACTCTCAAATGCAAGCGGTTTGTTAGCTATTCTCTTAATTGGTTTATAGTATCAGCTCTATATGATTTTTTCTACTTAACAATACATGTTTTTGGCTGCAGGAGCTCAACCTGGGCAAAGACAGAGTATGTGCCCTTTCTAACCCTTTCTGTAGGCAATGCCTTTATTTTTCTCTCTCTGTTATTTTTTTTAAATGTTATTTAAAGAATGGATTCATAAAATGATCTTAATTTATTAGAACTAAATGAAAATATGGCACTAAATAGGACGCAATAGAGAAAAAGGATTCATGTAGCCAACCCCACGTAGTAAGATTAAGGCTTTGTTGTTGTAGTTGTTGTTGTTGTTGTTGTTATTTAAAGAATGGAAATATTCTCAGCACTGTTTCAGTAGACCATTTCAATAAGCATCAAGTTGTCTTATTGTAGTTATTGAAGTAAACCGTGAAATTGATTACATTTCCCTGCTAGAATTACTCTTCTTTTCTTTTTTTAGTGAAATATGAGAGCCAAAGCTCAATTAAATGAAAATTAATCAAAAGAGTACATAAATATAAAATCAACTTGAAACTAAAGAGTAGATTTAAAAAAGACAAGTTTAGTAACCAAGACATAAAAATCAATAAACAGAATCAAAGCTATAGAGAAAAAGAAAATTATCAATGGGACTTGTGTTCATTTTCTCCCAAACTACAGGACAAAGACCATATAGAAGAAGCCATCATAAAAGCTAGCTGATACGGCTTACCAAGGAACATAAGAAATTTAACAAACCTATCCAAGGCCCGCTGATATCTTGGTGCTAGAGAGAATTGATATCTTGATATATGAATATGCACTTAATTGAAAGTAAAGACCCGCTTAAAAAAAAAATTTGCCTTAGTAACCAAAAATAAAAATCTAGAAATAGAATTAGAGCTATAAAGAAATAGAAAGGTGTCAAGGGGACTCGTGTTCATCATCGCACAAACTACGAGCCATTGACCATATAGGAAAAGCTTTTATAAAAACTAGCTCATGTCGCTTTCAAGGATCACAAGAAAGCCTACAACTAAACCTATCCAAGACCCAATGGTATCTTTATGTGGTGTTGGAGAGAATAGATATCCCAAGGCATGAATATACACCCAATTTAAAACTAAAGAGTTGATTAAAAAAGATAAATTTAGTAACCAAGGCATAAAAATCAATAAACAAAATCAAAGCTATAAAGAAAAAGAAAAGTATCAAGGCTCATTATCTCCCAAACTACAAGGCAATGACCATATAAAAGAAGCCATCATAAATGCTAGCTCATATGACATCCCAAGGAGCAGAAGAAAGTTCACAACTAACCCATCCAAGGCTCACTGATATCTTTAAGTTGGTGCTAGAGAGAATTGATATCCTGAGGCATGAATATGCACTTAAATTGAAAGTAAGGAGTTGCTTAAAAAAATCCGCCTTAGTATCCGAAAAATATGGCACTAAATAGGACGCAATAGAGAAAAGGATTCATGTAGCCAGAGAAAAAGGATTCATGTAGCCAACCCCACGTAGTAAGATTAAGGCTTTGTTGTTGTAGTTGTTGTTGTTGTTGTTATTTAAAGAATGGAAATATTCTCAGCACTGTTTCAGTAGACCATTTCAATAAGCATCAAGTTGTCTTATTGTAGTTATTGAAGTAAACCGTGAAATTGATTACATTTCCCTGCTAGAATTACTCTTCTTTTCTTTTTTTAGTGAAATATGAGAGCCAAAGCTCAATTAAATGAAAATTAATCAAAAGAGTACATAAATATAAAATCAACTTGAAACTAAAGAGTAGATTTAAAAAAGACAAGTTTAGTAACCAAGACATAAAAATCAATAAACAGAATCAAAGCTATAGAGAAAAAGAAAATTATCAATGGGACTTGTGTTCATTTTCTCCCAAACTACAGGACAAAGACCATATAGAAGAAGCCATCATAAAAGCTAGCTGATACGGCTTACCAAGGAACATAAGAAATTTAACAAACCTATCCAAGGCCCGCTGATATCTTGGTGCTAGAGAGAATTGATATCTTGATATATGAATATGCACTTAATTGAAAGTAAAGACCCGCTTAAAAAAAAAATTTGCCTTAGTAACCAAAAATAAAAATCTAGAAATAGAATTAGAGCTATAAAGAAATAGAAAGGTGTCAAGGGGACTCGTGTTCATCATCGCACAAACTACGAGCCATTGACCATATAGGAAAAGCTTTTATAAAAACTAGCTCATGTCGCTTTCAAGGATCACAAGAAAGCCTACAACTAAACCTATCCAAGACCCAATGGTATCTTTATGTGGTGTTGGAGAGAATAGATATCCCAAGGCATGAATATACACCCAATTTAAAACTAAAGAGTTGATTAAAAAAGATAAATTTAGTAACCAAGGCATAAAAATCAATAAACAAAATCAAAGCTATAAAGAAAAAGAAAAGTATCAAGGCTCATTATCTCCCAAACTACAAGGCAATGACCATATAAAAGAAGCCATCATAAATGCTAGCTCATATGACATCCCAAGGAGCAGAAGAAAGTTCACAACTAACCCATCCAAGGCTCACTGATATCTTTAAGTTGGTGCTAGAGAGAATTGATATCCCGAGGCATGAATATGCACTTAAATTGAAAGTAAAGAGTTGCTTAAAAAAATCCGCCTTAGTATCCAAAAATAAAAATCAAGAAATAGAATTAGAGCTATAAGGAAAAGAAAGTTTCAAGGGGACTCTTGTTCATCATCTCACAAACTACAAGCCATTGACCATATAGGAAAAGCTAACTCATATCGCTTCTCAAGGACCACAAGAAAGCCTACAACTAAACCTATCCAAGATCCGATGATATCTTTATGTGGTGCGGAAGAGAATAGATATCCCAAGACGTGAATATACACCCAAAATGAAACTAAAGAGTTTATTAAAAAAAGGCAATTTTAGTAATTGAAAAATGAAAAACAAATAAATAGAATCATAAATATAAAGAAAAAAATAAGTACTAAGAGGACTCTCGTTTGTTGGTCTCACAAATAATTGGATTACAACTATATAGAAGAAGTCATCTTGAAAGCCACCTCATACAATTTTCATAAACCACAAGAAAGCCTGCAATTAAACTAATTCAAGATACATTTACCATTTTTTAAGTGGTGCTAGAGAGGATTGATATCCTAAGACAAAAATATATATATAAAAAATTAAATAAAAAAAAAAGCATCAACTGACCCTAGACTTAAAAAAATATAGCAATTCGATGTCATGACATAGGGAGATGACAACGCCCAGGAAAACTTTTTTGGATCCTTTCCTTCCTTTGTGTGGGAGTCTATAAATAGTTGTTTCCTCTGTGTAAGAGTTTAGTTTTGGGTGTCTTATCCTCAAATCTTTTGTGTGGAGTCCCTTTCCCCCTTGCTAAGGCTGTATCCGAGGGCAGATGGTGCTCCAGCTGTATCCTGTCCCGGGGTGGTGTTGTATCCTTTCCATCTTCTCCACTTCTTCTCCCCGGCCCTTCTCCTACCTCTCCCCTAGCCGCCAACCATATCCCTCCACCACTCCGCCACCACCTCCACTCCCTCCACAACCTTGCCTTCTAGCTTACATACAACCAACCAAACACCATCCCACTCTACTTAAACAACCACCCGGACTTCCCATGTCTCGCTATTACCCCGCCGATGCTACCACCTCCTTCGGATCTCTTCTTACAGTCCTAACTAGAGATTCGTCTATTATTATATCACCATTCTGTTTGAGTCATGTTGTAATCCGATTTCTATATTAATAAAAGTTTGTGTTTGTGTTTCCATTGTTTCCTACTAGATGTGGTATCATTTAGCAAAGGAGAAAATCTAAATGAAAATAGCTATTGAGGGCCACCAAGGAAGAGAAATCATATCAGAGCTCTTCGATCACTTTCAACAGAGTAAAATTGACATATTCACTACATTCCCAAAGTTATTTAAGTCTGCAACGAACGCTTATTTATTAAGGAATTCCTAGGCTGTCGAGGGTGCCACAGACGGCAAACCCTAGCTCAGTGCTCCAGTTACTTTTAACAGATAATAATACTAGACCTAATATTCTCGAACTTATTTAATTCTCCAAGTAACGCAATAAATCGTAGGCCTGTTGAAAAAAACAACAAAGCAAAAACATTTGGAAAGATTCTGGTCCTTTTTTTTCCTCTTCAAATAGTTCAATATCTCCACCTAGGTTTTATTCTTTTTAACCTTCTGTTGTTCTGTTGACAGTACCCTGCTTTTATTTGTTCCTGATTACTGTTCTCCAATGTTTGCATTGATTAAACAGTTTCTTTCTTGTAGTTCATTTTGTTGCTTGCATCCATGAATGTGATGGTGAATTCAACATTTTTGAGGATTTTGAAATTAGTTACTGAATTTTTTTCTAATTTATAGTAACCAAACGAGTCTCTGATATCAATTGTCTATTTTAAATTGTATTTGCTCCTCATTTACCAAGAACAGTTTCTCCTCCTAAACTGTGGTTTTTATTGTGTACTTTTGGTTGATGGTGTAGCTGAAAGCAGCACAGCATGAACTTGGTTGCACATCAACTGCTCTGAGAGTAAAAACCCAGGAATTGGAGGTATGTCTGATTAAACTGCTTAGTTTGCAATGAGGACTTTTTATGGTTCTTACCACCAATCCTGCCTTTCTATCCACTCAGGAACAGAAGAAATTGAACAAGCAAAGCGCGCGAACTCTGGTATAAGAATGCTGTTTTTTTTATTTTTTATTTTTTTTATTTTTATTTTATACTGAAAGTGGTTGCATAGCCCTTTCCCGTGAAAATTTTATTGTTTCCATTGTCTGAAAGCAGGAAGGTGGCATTAAGGCTGTAGATACTGCTTTAGAAACATCTCAGTTACTTTCTCATAAGAGGACTTGTCTTCCCAACAAAAAGCGCCCTCAGAGAAGTCAATGTTAGCTTAAGCCTATCTATTGTCTCTATTTCACTTTTTACAATTCATTGTCGAAAACAAAATGTTCTTTCTACTCGCAGCACTTGTACATACACCTGTAACAAATCAGATAACCACTGAGGAGGATAACCACTTTCTTACCACCAATCCTGCCTTTCTATCCACTCAGGAACCGAAGAAATTGAACAAGCAAAGCACGCAAACTCTGGTATAAGAATGCTGTTTTTTTTTTTATTTATTTAAAGTGGTTGCATAGCCCTTTCCCGTGAAAATTTTATTGTTTCCATTGTCTGAAAGCAGGAAGGTGGCATTAAGGCTGTAGATACTGCTTTAGAAACATCTCAGTTACTTTCTCATAAGAGGACTTGTCTTCCCAACAAAAAGCGCCCTCAGAGAAGTCAATGTTAGCTTAAGCCTATCTATTGTCTCTATTTCACTTTTTACAATTCATTGTCGAAAACAAAATGTTCTTTCTACTCGCAGCACTTGTACCTACACCTGTAACTAATCAGATAACCACTGAGGAGGATAACCAAAGGTAATATAATTTGAGTTTACAAATTGATCACTTTGTGGCATTCAACTACGAACTGTGTATTCATTCGAGAGTAAAATCAAAGCAGGAGAACTCTACGGAGAAAACTAACTGTCTTGAAAGCTGAATCATGTGTACCGCCTTCTGAGGACCTTTTTGAGATAGAGGATGCAAAATATCCAATATGCTCGGGAGAAAACAAGGGAGAAATAAAGGATGGAGGTTGTTCTCTTCAGCCAAAGCCGTTCGCTCCAACAATTCCAACGAAATCCGTCAAGGAAGAGGTCGAGGATGTGCAGGTTACCTCGAGTTTAAATAGAACATCTCTTGGAAGACCCCTGCGCAGGGCAGCCGAAAAGGTCCATTGCTATAAAGAACTGCCCCTCAACGTCAAGCTACGAAGGTCTGAGTAGCATTACGTGGTTGGCTTAATTTGAAGTGATTTTTTCTACCCCTCAACACCAAGGTACGAAGAGGTCATCCTTGAGTGCTTTTGTTTTCTACAAACAAATATGAGATTTTACGGGGATGGTGATGTTGGGGAGCTAATGAGTTTTAGAGAAGGAATTCAGGTTTTTTTCTGATATTGTTTTTTTAATAATGCTATTTAGAATTAATGTGCTTTCTTTCTTTACTCAAAATGCTGTGCTCTCTGCTTGCCATTGTTGTATTATTTCTATCTTTAGCTTTTGTTGATGCTGTTGGAAATCTAATGAATGGTTGGAAAGCATACGAAACTCGTATTCCAAGTATTCTTGTTTGATCTGTGCTGAAATTGATGTAACGTTTCTCTTACAACCAAATGCAGAAGTTCATAAACTTTCACTGAAGCTCTAGTAATTATTTTACGCTTGCATAATCATATGTTAGGATTTTAATGACTTGGTTGCTACAGCTGTTGCCAATTAGAAGTTCGAGTCTAGAGAAAAAAGCAGTATTCGAAGGTATCCTCAAGGAAACACTTTTTTGTTTGTGAGAGAGTATTGACGATGGATGAAATGACCTTTATGATGTTAGGGGAAATCTACTCGAATTCACCTAATTGACAGTTAAGCTCTATTGTAATGGTTATAAGTTTCATCATGATTAACTATAGAGAACTATTAACATATACTTATCAAATAAATAATCACCTAATATTAATGACATAAGAATTACCTATAGTTTTCACATACTATCAAGGAAATATATAACACCTCCAAAAAGCAGTGCTTTTCCCTGAAACTATCAAGCCACTTTTACTGTGCCATTTTGAGACCATATAAGCTTAATCCAATTTTACGTGTCAAGCTCTCTCATACTTTGAATCCGAGTGGCTACTAAATTTAAATCCCATTCACTATGATAAAGCTTTGTATTTACATCTAATAATTTTAAATATATTATTTTCCTTTACCACTAATGCAAGTGTTATTAGAAAAAAGAGTGACCTCAACCTAGGGACAAGTACGATGAACGACAAAACTACTATAAAGAAGACATGAGAAATACCAACTTTATGTAATTCAACTTAAGTAAAGTTTATGTCTATGGTGAGCGACAAAACTACTATAAAGAAGACATGAGAAATACTAAATTTATGCAATTCAACTTAAGTAAGTTTATGTCAACTTAAGTAAGTTTATGTCTGTGATTGCGAAATGATTAAACAATCTATAAAACTTTAAAAGTGACCTAAAAAATTACACTTCCTATAATGTATAAGATATGGATAAAATTTTGCTTTATGTAGTTTAGATAAAATGTAGGCACATATAATAAAAAGATGAAGGCTAAATTTTTTTCATTGTTAAGAGGTTAAGGAACGCTGCTTCTTAGCACTGGAAAGACTTCTTCATTTTTTACTCAAATAACACCCTCTTCTCTCTCTCTCTCTCTCTCTACTCTCTCTCTATCAATTTATTTTTTGGTCTGTTAAATAAGTAAGAATTATATATGTTTATATAATAAAGTTCACCTTTTAACATTAATCAGCAATAACGTTAGAAGGATTTTATAGCCTCGATTGTAGAATTTTATGATGGACTTTGTTTAGAACTTTAATGCTGCCTCCATTTAGAATGTTGTGGAAGCCTTCATTAAATATTTTTTAAGTAGCTTAAAATTAGGACTTTGTATCACCATTAATTAAAAATCGTGATTAAATCTTATCCATAATAATTAATGATATTAACCTCTATATTTTGAAATTTCCCACTTTGAGAATAAATTTTAGATATATTTACTTAATAATTATATTTAAAATATGTCTTTAAATTTTATAAAGTTAAGACTATTTCTATTTTGTTACAAATTTTTTTTTTATAATATTTTGAATGAATTTTAAAATCATTTGGTGAAATACTTCTCCCTTTTTCTTCATCTATAAAAAAATTTATATAATGAGAAAATTATCTCTATAAGTTTTTTTTTCTTTTGTAAATCCTAAATAAACTCAAATTTAGTCTTTTAATACATTCCCTTTATCATCCTATAGTTTCAATCAAAGTTAAACGATATGTTTAGCTTTCCAATCTTATTTTAGTCTAAATTTATAAGATGTAATCTTAGTTTATTCCTTGTTTGCCTTACCAAAATTCTTTGAAAATTACAACCATCTTACATTAAAAAAAATTAAATAAATGAAGATATATGTCAAATTAGTCACATTATGGTTTATATGGACTACTCTTATAAACCATGTAATTTCTTAATGAAAAAAAAAAAACAAAACTCCTAAGAAAATTCAAAAAACTTCATATCAATGTTTAAATCTCACTCCATATCCAATATGTCTCTTGTTAACTAGAATTTTTTTTATTTTTTATTTTGGTAAATCCTAATTGTACTTACTCAAACATACAAATAATTGATAAGCATGGGTTATTATAGTCCGGCCAATGTTATCCAATGTATCATCTCTCTATACTCATTAAAAATAATTCTTATTATTTTAAAAATATTTTATAAAAATATGACAGCAATTACTAGAATTGGGAAAATTTCTTTTATGGCTTCATCAAGTTGTATCTGAGCCAAAACTTAGAAAATGAGGAAGTCGGCTTAGTGGAAGAGCACAAACAAAATAAATTGAATTTAACAAAAGAATTTGGATTTTATCAATAGATAACTTTAATGACTTGGGGCAGATTGAACACTTTTTCTTGCATTTAGCAAAAGTAATATCTTCTCAACCTTAATCTTACTCTCTAGCACTGTCATCTTGATGCTTATAAAGGTGAACGTAACAAAGTCATTCTTGTGTGCCTTTATTGTTAATAAGTGCCTAATCAAGTTGAGAACCACATAAACTCATTTATCATCATATATGGAGCCTTGAACATGTTGCTTTAGGAGATGAACATAATAAAGACATCCATGTAAGCCTTTAGTATAAATAAGTGGCTAATTAAGTTGATCAACCACATAATATTCTTCTTCCTCATATATAGCACCGCCAACATGATACTTTAGAAGGTGGACATAATAAGTCTATCTTTTTTGGCCTTTATTATGATTAACTACCTAATCAAATTGAGAGACCAAATAATCTTCTTCTTCTTCTCTAGAGCCACCAACTTCATGCTCATGAATGAGCTTGATCACTTATATGAGGATGGCATCATAGAAGTTGAAGATGTCCACAAGCTCTTAGAAGTGAGAAAAAGTGCAACTCAAGATCAACCTAATCCTAGTAAAAGCACAATTACTCCTAAAGGTCATAATTCAGAACTCCTCCTTGACAGTCCTCAATTGATGTATTTTATCAAAGATACACTTTATCTAAATAAATTTCAGGTTTGTTGCTAATAGTTTACAGGTGCCTACCATTAAGTCATGGATGAATGACTCATTGGATGAGAAAAGAGATAACTCATGGTGAAGTGAAAAAAAAATAAGTGTATTGAGGGTTAAATGAAGAAAATGAAGGGGAGGTATTGAGATCCAAAAATAAAAGTTAGGAGCATCCAACTTGGGAGATTAAGAGCTTTAAGGAGATCTAATCGTAATTTTTTAATGTTTGCACAACAATTTTTTCTCTATTTTATGTGATTTGATATTGACCAATACGACCTTTAATGAGAATATTTATTGATGATGTCTTACTAAATATGCATATTTAATACTAATAAAATAACATGGGTGATAAGATTAGCTAAGTATTGATCATTAAGTTATGAGTGGAAGTGATACAGAATAATGTAAGGTTATTTATATAAATGGAGATTGAAATCTATATGGAGGAGAATTAAGTGGCGCAATAAAATATGATAAAAAATGAAGATGTAATTATAAGAATCAAGTGAAGGTCAAAACACATTCAATCTCTCAAGCAAATGAAGCCAAATAAGCAAGAGCCTTAAACATGCTAAATTAAGAGTCCATTCAAGGTCGATCACAAGAGCTATATCAAGAATAAAGATTTGAATTTATATTTCATTATTTATACTTCAATTTTAGTTTCTAGAAAGTTTGAATTTTCAAACTTGAAGGCTTCTATAGCTAGTCATAAACACAAGAGCTATATCAAAAATAAAGATTTGAATTTGTATTTCATTATTCATACTTCAATTTTAGTTTCTAGAAAGTTTGAATTTCAAACTTGGAGGCTTCTAAAGCTAGTCATAAAATAATAATAAATTAAGAAGGTAGTTAGCACATTCATCAATTAATAGCCATTTATCCTTCCCTTTACAATTTTTTCCTCCGATTACTAATTTTTTTTTATCATTGTAGTCTTTATAAATAGGGTTGGTACATAATGATGTTTGATCAGTTGCAGAATGAAATATTTGAGTGAGAATTTTTTCTCTCGTTAATTGGTGCTTGGTAGCTTCAATTATTGTCTTTTCTTTGGTAAGATTACATATTTATCTTTGCTTTTCTTTTAAAGTTATTCATTATCTCCCCATACTCTAAAATCTTCAACGCCTCATTCACACCCTAAACATCTCTTAATATTACTAACCAGCAATCAAAGCCTCACAACCATTCCAAACTTCTTTTCATTGTTCTTGATCATGCTAGATCATATTAAGGTCTAGTTTTTTTTTCTCAATCCTTAACACCATTGTAAACCCATCCAAAAGAAACCATCTACTATAGATCATAGGCACACATCTTAAGAAAAGCACCAATAATCATTTTTAGTCATTTACCCATTTTTAAGTCACTTTCCCAAAATAGATATTTTAAATTAACCCAAACTAGCCTAATCTAGACTACTATTTGTATTTTAGCCGCCATTCCCTCCTAAATATTCTAACAATCCACTAAAATCTGCACATCACATCTTCATACCTAACACCAAATATCCATATTACGTTTTTGTACTTTGTCTAATCAAAATGCCATCCACCTCTATCATATTTGGTATCAAACTGAATCTGGGAAGGATCAACATAATAATAAGATATTTTAGGGGAATCTTCCCCTTATAGTGTGCCTAATGGCTCAACCATTAAAATTATGATTATAAAAAATTTAACCACCCTTAATAAATTAGATATTAGATTTTAGAAAGGAATCATTTGTATGCATTTGAAGTTGAGTTCGACGATTCATTTTCTTAATGAATAGTTTTAGTGAGTTTCAAGTTTGCAACT